AACAAAAAAAAAAACTTTGCAAATTAACTCTTTTAAAAATGGCCAAAAAGAAAATTAATTCTTAAAAAAAAAAAGAGAAAAAAACTATAAAATTGTAGGAGCCCATTAATATGTGATTCACGCTCGTAAGTAAACTAGATCTATTGATGTTGGGTTTACTGGCCCATTGAGTTCAGCATACTCGAACTGGATCAAGTTTCATTGAGCCTCAGTCAAGTCCAAGAAGAAGCCCAGCCGCTCTAGCTCAATCAAAACCATCCGATCCTTTTGCCCTAAGACGAAATCGAACGGCTACAATAAACTATCACCTTAAAATTAAATTCCACATTATATGTAGACAAATCGAAGAAGAGAGACTAGAGTTGGAACTCGGCAAAGTGGTGCAGAAGGAAGGAAGAAGGATGAAGAGGTGGTTCGATCCGTGGTCCGTCTTCTTCAAGCGAGAATGGAACCGCAACTGGCCTTTCCTGGTCGGGTTCGCCATCACCGGAACCATCATCACCAAGCATTCCCTCAGCCTCACTGGTATCGTTGCTCTCGATCCGTTGACGGACGTATTTATGTAGCGATGTTTATATACGTATTAATGTTATTGATAATCTATTCTTAATTGGTTTCGCAGAGGAACAAGCAAAGGAGTCGAAATTCGTTCAGAGGCATCATAGGTGAGTAAACCCTAGATTCTGAATTTCCGTTGTTCATTTCCATTATCATTTCGTGTTAATTTTTTGGAATTGTGATCGTGAAGATGCATTTCGTGTTTGATTCCTTACACTGATATCGGAAAACAGGATTGATGGAAATGGAATCCAATTTCATGTCTAAGTAATTGTTCCCATTTTCATTGAATTACACTGATATCTGAGTGCTATTATTCTAAGTTTAAGGAGACTACAGCTTTTATTTTCATTACTTTGTTGAATCTTTGTCATACTGTTTTTTCTCAGATCTTTACCTGATGTTGTATAGTTTTTAGTGTTGATTTCATTTGTTGATGATGCTGCAGATAAGGGGTTCTTTTACCATTTCATGTTTACTGTGTGATTGTACAATTTTTTGAAGAAAAAGAATAGCTGTAAATTTTGTATCTTATGATATATATGCTTTTCGAATAATTGAAACGGATATGTTTCTGTAAATCAGTCAAATAACCTTTTTTTCATGCTTTTGTCTGGAGGTATGCTTCTATAAACAATGGCATCTGTAGATGTGTATCCAAGATTTATGACCTCATTTGAATTGGACCTTGCTCCATTTTTCCTTTTTGTTGTGCAGGTGAATTGATTGATACCTAAAAGCCAATGTAGTTGCTCCAATCATCCTGAAACGGTTGCTTGCAGTTGCTTTTGCTTTTTATGAGCTACAATAACAGAAGAAAGCTGTTCTAGATACTCTGTTTTTGGTTCTTATCTTCACGAAACACCTTTATGATTGCAATATTCGCCTGTCTACTTGATCAAGAGTTATGTTCTTGAAATCAAATTGATAAGAAAGTGGCAAATGGCGGTTAATTCATTTTGATGTCTCATTGGCCTCTTTGAAATATTTCTTTGATCTCTTGGGGTTAATGCCACGGGCGAACAGGGAATAGTGGTCACCGTGCATGAGAGTTTATTG